GAAAAGGAGCAAGCTATACAAAGAGAAATACAAAATGTACAGTGTGAAGAGAAAAGGAGCACCAGGAAGTGTAATGGGGCTAAGTTTAGCGCTTAAGGAGATAAAAAGTATAAAGAAAAGCCTGATGCTAAATGGAATAAAGGGAGTTGTGACTTGAAAGACCCAAACCTGCTAAGCTCCCAACTTGTGAAAAGAAATTAAAGAAAAACATAAGCAGCAGAAGGGAATCATCAGTAACAGAAAGATGTTACAAATGTAATTGGAGGGGGCCAAGTTCCAGCTCCAGTAAGTTGCAGAACTTGGCAGTCTGACCACATGGTTCTTACTTTAGAGTCAAGAATACAAAAAAAAAAGGGGGGGGTTATAGAATCTCCCTCCTTGGCTAAAGAAAGCTACCAAGGTCAGATGTGTGTCAGAGTATTCCTTCATGGAAGCCTAGAAATGCCATTGTGTAAAGCTGTGAAGGTGAACCCAGAATTTCATTGAAAACCCCAAGATGTTAGAGATGCCAGAGACATGGGATACCTGCCAAGAAAAGTTGCAGACTGGGTGTGGAACTAACCAAAGAGAAAGAAGGGTGTTTCAGTTAACAAAGCTGAAAGGACTTGAAAATCTGAAGAACACTTTGACATCAGACATGGAGATGCAGAATTTGGAGTTTGTCCTGCTGCTTTTGGACTTTGCTTTGACTCAATATTTCCTCACTATGCTCGCTTCACTTTCCTCCCTTTTAGAATGATAACATATACTCTGCCATTGTATGTTGGAAATACGTAATCCGTTTTTGATTTTGGTCTTACAGGTGATTACAATTAAGAAATTGCCTTGAGTCTTAGAAGAGACTTTGAACTTTGGACTTTTAAACAATGTTGAGACTGTTGATAGACTATGGGGACTTTTGAAGTTTAAATGAATGCATTTTTGTATTATTATATGGCTGTAAGCCTATGGGAACCAGGAAGTTGAATGTGGTGTTTTTAATAAGAATGGCCCTCAGCCGGGCGTTGATGGCACACGCCTTTAATCCCAGCACTCGGGAGGCAGAGACAGGCAGATCACTGTGGGTTCGAGACCAGCCTGGTCTACCGAGTGAGTTCCAGGACAGGCTCCAAAACAATACAGAGAAACCCTGTCTCGAAAAACCAAAAAAAAAAAAAAAAAAAAAAAAAAAGAATGGCCCTCATAGCTGGGCAGTGGTGGCACACGCCTTTAATCCTAGCACTTGGAATGCTGAGGCAGGCGGATCTGTGAGTTCAAGGCCTGATGTATCCAGCTAGTTCCAGGACAGCCAGAGTTACACATAGAAACCCTGTATCAAAACAAAACAAAGGACTGCCCACAATAGGCTCATATATTTAAATGATTAGTCACCAGGGAGTGGCACTATTTGAAAGGATTAGAAGAATCAGGAGGTATGGACTTGTTAGAGGAAGTATTTTCACTGGTAATGGGCTTTGTTGTTTCAAAAACCTATGCCAAGCCCAGATACTCTCCTTCTTTGTCCCTACCTCTGCTTATAGATCAGGATGTAGCTTTCAACTATATCCTGCCTACCAGGATCATACCTGCCTACCAGGACCATGCTCTCTGCCATGGTAGACTGAAGTCTCTGAAACTGTAAGCAAGGCCACAGTTAAATGCTTTGCTTTTTGTGGTGGTTTTGTTGTTGTTGTTGTTGTTGTTTTGTTTTTGGCCTGTGTGTATGTCTGCAAGCCATAAGAAGGCACCAGAGACCATTACAGATGGTTGTGAGCCACCATGTGGTTGCTGGGAATTGAACTCAGGACCTTTGGAAGAACATCCAATGCTCTTAACCACCGAGTCATCTCTCCAGCCCCAAATGCTTTCTTTTATAAGAGTTGCCTTGGTCATGAGATAGATAGATAGACAGACAGACAGACAGACAGACAGACAGACAGACAGATATCTCTACTTCAAAAATGAAATGGTAGGGGCCTGGAAAGATGTCTCAGTGGTTAAGAGCAATGACTGCTCTTCCAAAGGACCTGGGTTGAATTCCCAGCACCCAGATGGCAGTTCATAATTGTCTGTAATTCCACTTCCATGAGATCCAACACTCATGACAAAACACCAATGCACATAAAATTAAATAATTTAAAAAATGAGATGGTAGGGGAAATAAATGCATGTAGTAGAGTATTAGGTGTGGACATTTCTAAAAATTACATTTATATTTATTTTGTATGCATGGATGAGTAGCTCATGTGTACTTACCTGTTGAGATCAGAGGACAACTTACAGGAATTGGTCCTGGGGATCAAACTCATTGGCAGGCTTAGAGGCAAGCACCTGTGCTCACTGGGCCATTTCACCAATCCAAAAATAAATCTTTAAGGGCAGCAATACCTGTCTAATTGGCTTCCTAAGAGATGACAGGATAACTGGGATTGATGAAAAATAAGGCCAGCAGAAGAGGTAGGGTTAGTCCAGTATATAAAAGAATTATTGGGTTTGTATGCTGTTACCTTGCTTGGAAAAACTCAATTTCCATTTTCTAGAGAGCAGTTTTGTTTCCTAGGGCCTGGAAATATAATTTTCTGTAATCCTCTCTTCCCTGTGGTAATGGTTGTTAAAACTTGACCACACTGGAAGTAAAATCAGAACTTTAAATACTATTGATGTCTGGATTCCAAAACCAAATATTCAGAATTATCTGGTCTAAAATCAATAGCTGGTATTCAAATGCAAGAGCATGTGGGTGACACATCATTTTCAAGCTAGAAGCAGCCCCCCATAGGTTCATGAACATCTCCATGTTAATTTTCTTATTGCTGTGACAAAAAAAAAAGTAACAATTGAAGGGAAGAAACATTTTGGCTCACAATTTCAGAGATTCAGAGATTTCAGTCCATCAAAACAAGGAGAGCACAGTAGCAGGCACACACAGCTTTGTCCAAGATAATGGGAGTGTGAGGTGAAGCAGATCAGGGAGCAGAGAAGAGATAGACCAGCACCAGGAGTAAGTGTAACCTTTAAAGGCTTGCCTCTAGTGACCCCTTCACCAGTAATGCTCAACCTCCAAACAGCTCCACAGCTTCTAAAAATGCCACTAGCCAAAGAACAAATGCTCAAAACACACACCTGAAAGGGACCATTCAGAGTCATATCATAACTTAGTATGTAGCATTATATGTCAGTGACTATGCTATGTCCTTTGCATATATAATCTCATTTAATCATTACAACTCTATAAATGTCATTATTTCATTTACAGGTTCAAAACAGAAGAGAACAAATTACTGGCAAGGCCAAGTACTGATGTACTGAATCTGTTGAACAATTCAAAGCAGTAAACTGACTGTAAAGGCAAGAGAACACCATGAAATGAGTGCATCAAGTCATATTAACCGCAGAGAAGCTCTTTCTCCCCACACCCTCTCTGTCCACGGCTGAGAATCAACCTAAGGAAGGGTAGGCAAGTGCTCTCCTATTAAATTACATTCCCATCCCAAGAAAAAACATCTTCTCAGTCACACTTGCACTATAGGAATTTCAGGGTCATAGTTTTAAGATTTTTTTCAAAAAAGGAAACATTTTCTTTGTATATAATCTCTTAATATTTCAGTGCCAAGTTGCTTAAAACAGCAGTATGCAGTTCAAACTAAATAAGGCTGTAAGTTTGCTTCTCTGATCCATAAGATGTTAGAAATTCAGAAGTAAGAGCTCTGAACGTGAGATACATGATTAGGGAATCCTTAAGCAAAATGATAGTAACACATCAGGAATAGTGTGTGCTGTAATAATAACCAGTGAGGCAGGAATCTTAGGCACAGACAACAAAGTCATTTAGGAAGCCAAGGCAGGAAGATACCAAGTATGAGGCTGTCCTGAGTTACACATAATGATAGGCTCAAAAATACAAAAGTAGGCTGGGCGGTGGTGGCGCATGCCTTTACTCCCAGCACTCGGGAGGCAGTGGCAGGTGGATCTCTGTGAGTTCGAGACAAAGCCTGGTCTACCAAGCGAGTTCCAGGACAGGCTCCAAAACAATACAGAGAAACCCTGTCTCAAAAAAAACAAAAAAAAAAACCCAAAAAAACAAAAGTAATACTTGACCTGATTAGTTAAAAACAGTGTGAAAAGCCGGGCAGTTGTGGGGCACGTCCTTAACTCCAGCACTCTCAAGGCAGAGGCTGGAGGAGCTCTGTAAGTTCAAGGCCACCAAGGTCTGCAGAGCGAGTTCCAGGACAGCCAAGGCTACACAGTGTGAAACTCTGTCTTGAAAAAAAACAAGCAAACAAAAAATGAAAAAATATATTAACCGTTTTCCAGACTTACTAGAAATAAATAAAACTGACATGTAAGCTGTTTGATTACATTTAAAATCTAAGTATTTGAAATTTTACACATTCAAACTATGATGCAAACTTCAAATTTGTGAATGCTTATTTCTATGACTGAAAAGTAGTTTGTTTTTTTGTGGGGTTCTTTTGTTTTGGTTTTTTTGTTTGTTTGTTTTGCTTTGGTTTTTGAAGACAGGGTTTCTCTGTGTAGTCTTGACTGTCCTGGAACTCATTCTGTAGGCCAAATTGGCCTTTAACTCACAGAGATATGCCCACCTCTGCCTCAAGTTCTGAGGCAAAGGCATGCACCACCACCACCCAGCTGAAAAAGATCTTTTAAAAATCTACATTTATTTTTGTCTTTGTTTTTATTTGTTCTACCTTAGTTTACTCCCTGCCAGCTCATTGCCTCTCACACCTGCGTTTTATCTATAAAACTCATAGCAGGGTCAGTCGGTGGTGGTGCACACCTTTAATCCCAGCACTCAGGAGGCAGAGGCAGGCGGATCTCTGTGAGTTTGAGGCCAGCCTGGTCTTCAGAATGAGTTCCAGGACAGCCTCCAAAGCCACAGAGAAACCCTGTCTCAAAAAAAATAAATAAATAAAATAACAAAAAGCTCATAGCAGAGTTTTGCAATTAGCAAAACAAGAAAAGACCTTTAAAAATATTTTATGTGCATGGTCCCCTCAGCATGCATGTGGAGGTAAGAGGTCAACTGTTCTCTTGCCATCATGTAGGTCCTGAGACTGAACTCCTATCATTAGACTTGTGTCTTTACCAGCCGTACCATCTTGCTGCCCCTTAAAAAAATATCTCAATTGAAGTCAAATTCCTTATTTCTAGGACATCCATGTTTTAGGACCAAATGCCTATTCTTTGACATCTACACTAGCATAGTAAGTATGCTGTTGTTTTTTTTTTTATCACTATGTCTACCACACAGATGTCTTCAGTATATCATGAGGCACATAAATCACTTGTACAAAACTAAAATAACACATTATATATTTCTACAAGTTATAAAGTTTTACAGAAGTTATATGAAGTGAAATGTCTTGTATTTTAAAAACTGCCCTCTCCCCAATTTTTTTCTTTTTCACACATAACTCCAAAAATGAAAACTGCTCTTTACAGTTTTTAGTTTAAGTGAATTTTATTTAATAACATTAATTCTATGACAAAGATCTAAGGATTCTAGAATTGAATTAGAAACGGTCAAAGCCACACTATCCTATTATCAGACTTAAATGTTAAGGAGAGTACAATCCTCTGCTGAAAATTCTATTTAAGTACTAGGTCTTTCAACACTGAGACGTTTCAAATTAAGTTTGAGTCTGAAGATCCGGTTCTTGGGCATTTCAAGTAATGACTTAAAAACACACGTGCTTTTTTTGTCACACGTTGTACCAAAAACTGCATGCTCAAACAAAAGAGATGAGGCATTTCTGGTGTTGACACACCTTCATTTCTGTAAAGCTAAAATGTCGAAAACAGTACCTGGCATGGTGGTACAGGCCTTTAACCCCAGCATTTAGAAGGCAGAGGTAGGCGGATTTATGTGAGTTCCAGGACAGCCTGGTCTACAAAACTGAGTTCCAGGACAGCTAAGACTGTTACACAGAGAAGCCCTGTCTCTAAATACCGCCCCCCCTACCCCAACCACCGCCAAAAATCTCAAACAGTAGAAATTGTCGTATCCTCTTAAAATGCTACCTGGAAGTATAGTCTAACCTACCACTTTTGTAATGCCTCGTTTTCCTTTATAGCCCTAAGTAAAAAGCGAAAACACTGAAATATGAAGGAAATTCTAAAAACGAGTTTGCAATTTTAAATCTTCCGAATGTCGGCTCTCTACAAGCACTTCTCTAGCCAGCCTCGCATATTCTGGGTCAAGCTCGGAGACAGCAGGCCGATCATTCTTTGAAGAAACGCTGCCTCTAGCCTAGAGTACAAAGGCAATCCCTTCCTTTGACCCTCTTCTCGTTACTCTGCAGATGGAGGGCCAACAAACACAACGACCTCCTTTCGACGGGCACACATCCCTCTCCTCAGCCCTCAGGACCGCCCGAGGCCAGGCCACGAGGCCACGCGGTGCTCTCGGGGCGCCAGGCCCGAGCGGGTCAGGGAGGACGGGCAAGGAGGAAGAGGTTCTTCCAGGCAAGCGTGGGGCCGGAACAAAGCGCCGGCCCAGAAAGACACAGCGGTCCCGCGACGCACACTCATGGGGCTCCGGGCGCTACGCAAAAGTCCCGCAGCGCGCCAGCCCGCCACCCTTACGCCAGTGGCTTGGCCCCAGAGCCTTCGCGAATATGGCTTTGCGCACTGCGGCGGGGCTGCGCTGCAACCGAGCTTGTCCGGTGGCTCCTCCCCGCCGCCCTGCGCGGATTGGTGGCGGACGGAAGCCCGGCTGCTGATTGGATAGCGAAGGAGCCACTCGGGGAGGCTCTGGTGGGTCGTCCGCCCCAGAGTGATAAGTTCGGCTTCAGACACGCCTCAGCGCCAGCAGCGAGCCGGAGCTCTATGGAGGTGGCGGCGGGTACCAGGTGGTGGCTGCAGCAGCGACTCCTTTGAGCTGAGAGTTTCAGGCCGTCCCCGACTCCTTCCTCCCCCTTCCCTCCCCCTTTTTTGTTTTCCGTTCCCCTTCCCCCTCCCTTCCCCGTCCCCGACGACCGGATCCAGAGGAGGCAGCTGCGGCGGCAGCTGCTGAGTTCTCGGTGAAGGTGAGTGGAGCCGCCGCCGAGCGGAGCCTCTAAGATGGCCGCCGCCCCTGGCCGCTTCTTGTCGAGTGGTACAAAATGGCGGCCGCAGGCGGAGCCGGGCGGGGCGCCTTTCCTCTGCCTCTGAGCCACCTAGAAATCTGTGGCCTCTGTTTTCCCTCCCGTGCCGACCAAGGAGAGGGAATCTGCAATCTCGGCTAGGTCGGCGTGCGCCTGAGTGGCGGGCGCGGCCGGGCCCCTGACGCGGGGTGCGAGGACGCGTGCGAGCGTGGCGGGCCTCGCGCCTCGGCGGGAGGGACGCGGCCCGCGGCAGGGCCCGGCCGTTGGCGCGGGACCAGCGAGGCGGACGAGTCCGGAGCCCGGCCTCCCGGTGGGGAGGAGGTGTGTGGGCCCTGGAGCGGGCTTCCCCGCTCGGGGGAGGCGGAGAGCGGGTCCCCCGGCCCTTTGTGGGCCGAGGCGCTGTCAGCCGGAGGATTTATGGTGGAGGCGGCGGGTGGGCAGGAGGCCGCCTTCCTGCGGGAGAACAAAGGGCCGGCCCGGAGGGGGCGCCTCCCGCTCAGCCCGAGTCCCCGCCTGGCGCCGGTCGGAAGCCCGGCCAGAGTGGCTTAGGGGAGGGCCCCGCTGCTCTTTTGTTCGCGGAGTGGGGCGGAGGTTCCTGCTGCCATGTTGTGGCCCCGCTCTTCCGGCGGCTTTCCACACGCGCCCTGTGGGAAGGGGTGAGCGCAGTGAGAGCGGGTCCGGCCTGTCACTGCCCAGGCCGCTAGAGCAGGACAGCAGACATTTCCTCCCAGCATTTTAAAGGCCCCAGAATGCGGCTGCGTTCGTTCTAGACAGTAGCCAGATGTTCTTTTCTTTTTTTCCACAAAGGCTGTTCTCTGGCTTCTTGAACACTTACGGGAAAGGAAACACAGCTAAACAAGATTTTACTGAGTATTTGTGGTTTTGACTTCGGTGTAGTGTAGTCTTCTGAGGGCGGCAATGCAGTGAGAGCTGAAATAAATGACAATAGACTGGAGGTGTATAGATCTATATGGTGGCAGTACCTAATTTTGGTGTTCTTTCTCGTTCCAGGCTTTTCATTTGTACCATCCCCTCCCCTCCCCACCCCATCCATTAATATTATTCTTTTGAAGATTCTTCGTTGTCAAGCCGCCAAAGTGGAGAGTGCGATTGCAGAAGGGGGTGCTTCTCGTTTCAGGTATGGACCATGGGAGGGGGTGTTTGAAAAGGCTAGTTATAAAGCCACTACCAGATCCCACTTAATGTGCTGCAGTTCTAGAATTGTTTTATGAAAAGTAAGTGGGTTATTTTGCTTGCATGAATGCAGTGTCAGGACATCAGATCCCCTGGGACTGGGGTTATAGACCGTTGTGAGCTGCCATGTGGGTGTTAGGAATTGAACCCTTGTCCTCTGGAAGAGCAGCCAGCACTCTCAAACTCTGGCTTCCGGCTCATTTTCTTTTAGGCCAAAGTTCAGTCTTGGTTGCAGTTCTAAAATATAGATAGGTTCCCTTTTGAGTGAGAGGTGACTGAGATGGTACAAATTTTCTTTTTGACTAGTGCTTCTTCGGGCGGAGGAGGAAGTAGGGGTGCACCTCAGCACTATCCCAAGACTGCTGGCAACAGGTATGGTGAATCATCAGTAATCTTGATGTGACTTCATAGTTTCAAACTGTTGTTGATGCTCTCCTTTCTTGTTACATATTTGCTATTATCCCAAAATCAAAATGGCTATGCCTACTATTTGGTATTTAGTGTAATCTGTGTGGAATATAGTTAAGCATTTTAGTAAGTCTCAAGTTTTGTTCTTGGATCAGCAGCCTGGGAATGTAGTCAGAAATAAATTCTCCAGCTGGGTGGTTGTAGCACACACCCTTAATCCCAGCACTCGGGGAGGCAGAGGCAGACCAACCTGGTCTACAAGAGAGGTAGTTCCAGGACAGCCTCCAAAGCCACCAAGAAACACTGTCTCAAAAACCAAAAAGAAAAGGAAAATTTCAGATACTACCCCCAAACCTACTAGAGAAGTCTGTTTTAAGAAGTTTTCCAGATGATTCTGGTGCTGTTTGAGAAGAATTTCAGGATTGCTTGGGGGGAGGGGTAAAGCCTAAGGTTTATTTTATATTTTTGTTTAGCAAAATTTAGGGTGGTAGAAGGTTTGTTACTAAATTAATTTTCTTAATCTACTTTGTTGATATTGTATTAAACTAGCGAGTTCCTGGGGAAAACCCCAGGGCAAAACGCTCAGAAATGGATTCCTGCACGAAGCACTAGACGAGATGACAACTCCGCAGCAAACAACTCCGCAAATGAAAAAGAACGACATGATGCAATCTTCAGGAAAGTAAGAGGGTAAGTGTCAGGGTTTGTTCTGAGGAGGTAGAGATTAGCTGTACTGTTCCTGGTGTGTGTGGTATACAGTTTATACTGCATTCACATTTTAGTGAATTTTGTTGTCAATATTTCCTTTGAAGAGTAGTCTGTTGCCTATAGGAGTTTGGCAGCAGGGGCCGTTTATTACCTATAAGCTTATGCTAACTAGTTCCATGTTCTGGTGTGTAACTTCCAGATAACGAGAGCCTTGTGCTCTGAGTTTTGAGAAACATTTAAGATATGATTCAGGTGTCATACATAATTGTGAGAGTGTGTATATGTGTGTGTGTGAGAGAGTTTATTCCAGCATCTCTTGGGTTAGATATAAAATGAAAACTTCTATAACAGCATGTACAAGATTTCCATAGGCTCGAGCAAATCCTAGCACAAAGGGGGGGGTCACAAAGTCCTGAAGCTACTGGCAGTTTAAATGCTGAAAGAGGGGAAAATTTATTTTCTTCCATGGGGTGATACAGCCACACTCCAAGGAAAGGCCCTATGCTCAGGAATAAATGGGCAACACAAATTTGTTTTTAGTGGCCTTTTCTTAGAGAAAGAATGTGAAGTGAGATAGGAATTGGGAGGTCACAAAAGTGTTATAATAAAGAAAAATACACAGTGTAGAATTAAGAAAATAAACTGGGAAGAGAAAGGGAACAACTCCCCTCCCCCCCAGCTAGTAAAGGGAAAGTAAAAATTTAAATACTGTTTTTTCAGCCCAGAAATTATTTTAACCCACATAAAATGTGTTTTTCCCCCCAGCATACTAAATAAGCTTACTCCTGAAAAGTTTGACAAGCTATGCCTTGAGCTCCTCAATGTGGGCGTAGAGTCTAAACTCATCCTTAAAGGGGTCATACTGCTGGTAAGTTTAAAATGTTGGCTCAAAAGTGGGAGGTTTAACAAACCCAAGTTTCTTATACTTGATTATCTCATTAAATCATGAGATAGGTCCTAGGTATAGATGTATATATCTGAATAATAAAAACAAGAGGGGCTGGAGAGATGGCTCAGGTTAAGAGGTTCTGAGTTCAATTCCCAGCAACCACATGGTGGCTCACAACCATCTGTAATGAGATTTGGTGCCCTCTTCTGGTGTACAAGCATACATGCAGGTGGAACACTGTATATGTAATAAATATTTTAAAAAAAACAAACAAGAACCACTTCTGTTTAAGAGGTGAACCTTGAATCTTCATTGCCTTGGTTTACCGAGCTGTCTGCAAACAGCTATTGAAGTTTTTCTTTTGGGAATTCATATGCTGATTCATAAAGGATTCTGGCATTTTGCTTTGCATGACTACCAGCCAGAGTTGGGTCCCTACTTAAATAGTGTCTTGTGATTTATAGTTCTGGTCATGATATTTTCTAGCTGGGGAGAGGTATACAGCATGAGATTTATTACATAGTACCACAGATGATGGCTAAAAACTTAAAATGGTTTTATTTTTCTGAGGTATTTTCCAAATGAATAGAGACTAGTTTGTCGTGAGTTGTAAGGTTACAGCTGTTTACAAGGGGACTCTTTCAGCCTCTGATTCATGGTGGTTTGCTTAATGACTTCTGTAGATTGTGGACAAAGCCCTAGAAGAGCCAAAGTATAGCTCACTGTATGCTCAACTATGTCTGCGATTGGCAGAAGATGCACCAAACTTTGATGGCCCAGCAGCAGAGGGTCAACCAGGACAGAAGCAAAGCACAGTAAGTGGCAGTTTTTGTTGGCCTTGTTTTAAGACCTGGGAGATTTTTTTGTTAATGAAGTCTTTATCTTTTCCAAATAGACATTCAGACGCCTCTTGATTTCCAAATTGCAAGATGAATTTGAAAACCGAACCAGAAATGTTGATGGTAAGAATTTTAAATTTGCTGTTAGCTAGTACTGTGTGGTTTTAATTACATTGGTATGTTCTGTGGCCTAAGTATAGAGGTCAAAACACTTGCAAGAACAGTTCTAAGTGTTCTTTATTCTGTTTACCTCCCCCTCAGTCTATGATAAGCGTGAAAATCCCCTCCTCCCTGAGGAGGAGGAACAAAGAGCCATTGCTAAGATCAAGATGTTGGGGAACATCAAATTCATTGGAGAACTTGGCAAGCTTGATCTTATTCATGAATCTATCCTTCATAAGTGCATCAAAACAGTGAGTATGACTGGAGTATCTTAGGATGACCTAACATATCCTTATCTGGGGAAAATTAGTCTCAGTTGCTTCATATCATCTGAGAAGGTGGGTAGCTACTAACATAGGTTGGTGACCAGAGAAATTTGGAGTTTTGAGGTGTGCTTATTACTAAAGTAGAGGGGTAGATTGGATTGCCTTGCCTGTGCTAAAATTCCTAGAGGGATTTCAACACAGACTGGTGGAAAAGCATAATCCCTTAGCTCTAGGGATTATGAATCCAAACCTAAGGAGGAACTACAACATAAACCAGAATAATAAGATTTTCAACATTCCTTTCATAGCTTTTGGAAAAGAAGAAGAGAGTCCAACTCAAAGATATGGGAGAGGATTTGGAGTGCCTCTGTCAGATAATGAGGACAGTGGGACCTCGATTAGACCATGAACGAGCCAAGGTAAATTTTTACTGAGAACAATGTAAGGGTAGTATGTCCTGTGAGTTGGGATTTACTCTAGTTAGTCATCTGCCTTTATGGCATGATTACCATAAATAGTATGCATTTATCTAGTTCTAATTGCATTTTGTTTTTTTTTTTTTATTGGTCTTTTTATCAGTCCTTAATGGATCAGTACTTTGCCAGAATGTGTTCCTTAATGTTAAGTAAGGAATTGCCAGCAAGGATTCGTTTCCTACTGCAGGTATGATTTTTTTTTTAACAATGTTCAAAAGCTTGAGTTTTTTTCCTTTGGAATAGTAAAATAAAAACGTATACATTTTAAAATCACAGGATACCGTAGAGTTGCGAGAACACCATTGGGTTCCTCGCAAGGCTTTTCTTGACAATGGACCAAAGACGATCAATCAAATCCGTCAAGATGCAGTAAAAGTAAGATGAGGTTTTTTGTTTTTTTACAGTAGTGTAATCCTTTCCATGATTCTTAACTAGATTTATCTTACTGGTATTGAGGTTTGTTTCATAGAATCCCTCAAGCCATTTTGGAGAGAAGTTATAGAACTGAATAAGTAATAAGAGGTGTACAGACAACAGTACTTAACCCTTTTTTTTCTCAAAGGATCTAGGAGTGTTTATTCCTGCTCCTATGGCTCAAGGGAGGAATGACTTCTTCCTGGAGGGACCGTTCATGCCGCCAAGGATGAAAATGGATAGGGACCCACTTGGGGGACTTGCTGATATGTTTGGACAAATGCCAGGTAATTTTAAATTAAAGCAGTGTTTGAGTTAAACTAAAAGTTTAAAGTTTTAGTGGAGTTCTAAAAATTGTTTGTATTTTAAGGTAGTGGAATTGGTACTGGTCCAGGAGTTATCCAGGATAGATTTTCACCCACGATGGGACGTCATCGTTCAAATCAGCTCTTCAATGGCCATGGGGGACACATCATGCCTCCCACGCAATCGCAGTTTGGAGAGATGGGGGGCAAATTTATGAAAAGCCAGGTAAGACATTGACAGTGTTTATAATGTTAGGATTAGCCTTAGGCCCAATACATTTTGCCCTTTATTTAAATGAAGCTGAGTTTTACTTTTAATGTTTTGTTTTTTTCTTAGCCAGATTTCCATCTGACACTTGTTTCAAATTGAGTATAATATGTATCCTTAAAATTAGTAAAAATCTGGGGCTGGAGAGATGGCTCAGGTTAAGAGCACTGACTCCTCTTTCAGAGGTCCTGAGTTCAATTCTCAGCAACCACATGGTGGCTTACAACCATCCATAATGAGATCTGATGCCCTCTTCTGGCCTGCAGACATACATGGAGGCAGGATGTTGTATTCATAATAAATAAATCTGGAAAAAAATTAGTAAAATCAGATCACTTCATTCAACAGATAGTTTAGATATTCCCTATTTCATCTTTTCTGGGCAAATACAGTTAATCTCTGGGCAAATCACTTGCTTGGCTCATTCCCTTGGTACTCGACTTATCTAGACTTTCTCTCTCCCTTTCTGAAATAGGGGCTAAGCCAGCTCTACCATAACCAGAGTCAGGGACTCTTATCCCAGCTGCAAGGACAGTCGAAGGATATGCCACCTCGGTTTTCTAAGAAAGGACAGCTTAATGCAGATGAGGTACATTTGCCTACATTACTTCTATGCAGTAGTTTTGTCAGCGCAGAAGTCTCTTGCCCGATGATTATAAAAAGACGCGAAAGAGGACTTGAAGCTGGATCTTTTCCTTTTTTCTCTTCTACTACTTTCTTTTCTCTAGTTTCCCTTTTCTCTGCTTTTTCTCTTTTCTCTCCTTTCCCCCCTTTTCTCTGCTTCTTTTTCTCTTCTCTCCTTTCTCTTTTCTCTGCTTCTTTTTCTCTTTGGATATCCAGCGTCCGATGAGCGAAGATTATGAGATATGAGGGCAAGTTTCTAAGTAATTTTTACTAGTTAGTTGGTAGTTTCTCTGTAAGTAGACTAAAGAGTATTTGTATTGCTGATCATTGGTCCAACTATTGTGCAAAATAAGGTTTGTAGACAATGCCTTAAAGAGTATATGTATTGCTGATCATTGGTCCAACTATTGTGCAAAATAAGGTTTGTAGACAATGCCTTACTCTTCTCTCAGTATCGTACCCAGAAGTAACTTTCTGGGTCTTTAGAGAAATATATTTCTGTCATAATTATTAGATTCGTGTATAATTAGGGTATTAAAAGTATTAAGATTTAACGTTTGTTAGCTTTTGTTAATTTGGTTATGTGTTTGTTTTCAATTTTTAGATTAGTTTGAGGCCTGCTCAGTCGTTCCTAATGAATAAAAATCAGGTGCCAAAGCTTCAGCCCCAGATAACTATGATTCCTCCCAGTGCACAGCCACCACGCACTCAAACACCACCTCTGGGACAGGTATGGGCCCCTGAAAATGTGTGAGGATTCACATGTCCTTCTCTCTGCTTTGTGGTAATACTACTGTTCTTTTTGATTTGTTTCATTTCGATCAAATGTGTGTTGTGCTGCTTGTCTTTAGACACCTCAACTTGGTCTCAAAACTAATCCACCACTTATCCAGGAAAAGCCTGCCAAGACTAGCAAAAAGCCACCACCATCAAAGGAAGAATTACTTAAATTGACAGTAAGTTTCAGATAGCCCCTAAATCATCTCTATTGCTTAGAAAACATTTGAGGCTAGGGAACACTGATGGGAATTGGATTGTGTTCTCAGGAAGCTGTTGTGACTGAATATCTGAACAGTGGAAATGCAAATGAGGCCGTCAATGGTGTAAGAGAAATGAGAGCCCCAAAACACTTTCTTCCTGAGATGTTAAGCAAAGTGATCATCCTGTCACTAGATAGAAGTGATGAAGATAAAGAAAAAGCAAGCTCTTTGATCAGCTTACTCAAACAGGAAGGGATAGCCACAAGTGACAACTTCATGCAGGTAGAACATTCTACTGATTGATTGTGTGGTAACTCCTCCAGTCATGGTTGGGAACTAACAAACTGTTTTGTATATTCTTCTTCCCAAGGCTTTCCTGAATGTATTGGAGCAGTGCCCCAAACTGGAGGTTGACATCCCCTTGGTGAAATCTTATTTGGCACAGTTTGCAGCTCGTGCTATAATTTCAGAGTTGGTGAGCATTTCAGAACTAGCTCAACCACTGGAGAGTGGCACCCACTTCCCTCTCTTTTTACTTTGTCTTCAACAATTAGCTAAATTACAAGATCGTGAATGGTTAACTGAACTTTTTCAACAAAGCAAGGTCAATATGCAGAAAATGCTGCCAGGTAAGAGCCACTGGCTTAACAGTAAGTGGGGATTTTGATGCCTTCAGGGGATTTTTTTTTTTTGTAGAGTGGTCTAAATAGGCCAGTCTGGTAAAATGAGAAATGTCTTTGCAGAAATTGATCAGAATAAGGATCGAATGTTGGAGATTTTGGAAGGAAAGGGACTGAGTTTCTTATTCCCACTCCTTAAATTGGAGAAGGAACTATTGAAGCAAATTAAGCTGGATCCATCCCCTCAAACTATATATAAATGGATTAAAGATAACATCTCTCCCAAACTTCATGTAGATAAAGGATTTGTGAACATCTTAATGACCAGGTAAGATGAATAGTTTCATTTGCCAGAAAAAGTCTTCATTCAGGGCAGAGGCCCAAGAAGTTACTAGTGTGGGATTTCTAACATGATCTCTGCTGTTCAGCTTCTTACAGTACATATCTAATGAAGTAAGCCCACCTAGTGATGAAACAGATTCTTCCTCTGCTCCTTCCAAAGAACAGTTAGAGCAGGAAAAACAACTGCTGCTCTCTTTCAAACCAGTGATGCAGAAATTTCTTCATGATCATGTGGATCTACAGGTCAGTGCCCTGTATGCCCTGCAGGTGCACTGTTACAACAGCAGCTTCCCAAAAGGTGAGGTGACTGGTGTCTGGGAATGAGGGGCAGTTTGAAACTGCACACTGAATAAGGGAATTACATGTTGTTTTGTTTTGTTTTAAGGCATGTTACTTCGATTTTTTGTTCATTTCTATGACATGGAAATTATTGAGGAGGAAGCTTTCTTGGCTTGGAAGGAAGACATAACACAAGAGTTTCCAGGAAAAGGCAAGGCTTTGTTCCAGGTAAGTGCTTTAAGATTTTTTGCTATTAGTTTTGCTTGGTGTATTTTAAATGGTCTAACTTGAATGCATCAAAAAAAAAAAGGCATATTTTCTGTTATCAAGTGGAATTAGAGCCCTGGGAATAGAAAACTTTACATGAAAGTTCTCTAAATCAATAGGGTACAAAATGAGGCTTTAAAAGGTATGGTCACAGTCTGGTACTAAAGGTTCTTACTTAGCACGATTCAGATAGTTACAATTTTTCTAGGTCCTTAGCTTTGAGGAAGGCCTGGTTTACAACAGGTCATTCTTAAGAATTTATCCCTATTCCTGTTTTTGAGAATCTGTCACAGTAATTCCAGAATGCTACTATATACTGGAGAAATTTGGTTTGGAAGAGTTGCTGTCTTGGACAACAACCTAAAGTGTAAGACTAGTTAATTGAAGCTAGGTATGTGGTTTGTGCCTTAAAGCCCAGCACTTTGGGGTTAAAGGGTCAAGGGCAGCTTGGAAAGACAGCTCAGCAACCTAATTGTTTTACCTTCAATTCCCTAAGTTCCAAGCCCCTATCTGACTATTGTAGGCCCTGTGCATTGTACACAGTCACATACCAGTTACTCACCATGTGTACACAAATGTTTTAAGGGAGAAAGGCTAGAAATGACTCAGGTACAGCTTGTGAAGTTCAGTACCCAGAAACCACTTAATCTCTTTGGATTAATTTTTTTATTATGTGCATTGGTGCTTTACCTGTATGTATATCTATGAAGGTACCAGATGCCCTGGAATTGGAGCTATAAACAGTTCTGAGCTACCATGTGGATGCTAGGTATTGAGCTTAGGTCTTCTTGAAGAGCAGTCAGTGCTCTTAACCACTGAGCCATCTCTCTAGTCCCCAAAACTTTATGTACTATATTACTAAGTTTAATATAAATTTAATTTACAGGTAAATCAGTGGCTAACATGGCTAGAAACTGCTGAAGAAGAAGAATCAGAGGAAGAAGCTGACTAAAGAACCAGCCAAAGCCTTAAATTGTGCAAAACATACTGTTGCTATGATGTAACTGCATTTGACCTAACCACTGCGAAAATTCATTCCGCTGTAACGTTTTTTCACATATTTAAAGCAGAAGCACGTCAGTAAGGTTTCCTTCTGCATAAGGTTTTTGTAGTGTGATGTCTTAATCATAGTCTACCATCAAATACTTTAGGAGTATCCTTAATGTTTAGATAGAATATTAGCAGCATGCAATAATTACATCCTAAGTTCTCAAGCAGAGGCAGTCTATTGCAAGGATCTTCTTTGCTGCCAGTTACCATAGGCTGTTTTAAGTTAGAAAACTGAATAGCAACACTGAATACTGTAGAGATGCACTTTGCTCAGTAATACTTGAGTTGTTGCAATATTTGATTATCCATTTGGTTGTTACAGAAAAATTCTTAACTGTAATTGATGGTTGTTGCCGTAATAGTATATTGCCTGTATTTCTACCTCTAGTAATGGGCTTTATGTGCTAGATTTTAATATCCTTGAGCCTGGGCAAGTGCACAAGTCTTTTTAAAAGAAACATGGTTTACTTGCACAAAACTGATCAGTTTTTGAGAGATCTTTAATGCCCTTGAAGTGGTTTTTGTGGGTGTGAAACAAATGGTGAGAATTTGAATTGGTCCCTCTTATTATAGTATTGAAATTAAGTCTACTTAATTTATCAAGTCATGTTCATGCCCTGATTTTATATACTTGTATCTATCAATAAACATTGTGATACTTGATGTAGTTGTACATGACTTCAAATAATACCTGCAAAGTTATGTAAAATTTCATTTTGTTTTGAGATATTGTACTTATCTCAGTTTAAGAACTTGGGAAATTTTCAGTTTCATAGTCTTAAGACCAGTGCTATTCAGTAGTGAATTGACCCAGTAAGGAGCATTTCATTATCATTCTGTTTTTCACCCTACAGCTATTTCCTGTCAGTCTTAATCTATTGCAAACTGTCAGCTTAATCTGGAGCTGCCTTTTCTGTTACAGACTTTGTGTCAGTTCTTTGGCTCTGCTTTCTAAGCACCTTAGGAATAAGCTTTCTTCATCCAGCATCATCTTTGCTGAGTTAGCTGTTTAGCCCCTTAAAGTCTGTAAAACTGGCTCCCTCTCGTTGCCTTCCATTTTGTCTAGCCCTTGCAATATGCAGTTCTCTACCTGGAACACAATGCTCTCCTTAACCTTCAGATGTTGGTATGATTTTTTTACTCAGAACTTGCCTTCTTCCTCTGCCAGGACAGTGAGGAGCTTGTATTGGTCAAGAATTTTTTGAGATGTCTCTGAAAGGTCCACAGGGAACTCAGAGAGCAGTGGTCCACAGAAACAACCTGACTCTGTGTGTCCCTTGCATCCCCTGCCAATATCTGTGCTCAGGTGTCACCAGCTCCAAAAGCCTACAGTGGAATGAGTAGGGACAGATGTACCCCTTGCTCCCTCCCAGCAGAACCCTGGTCTGCTTCAGTGGAATAGAAGAAGCTGGGAAGAGTTGAAGTGGACAGTCAAGGATAATTGTGGGATTCAGGTCCATCCCACAACTCAGCCTAGCCTGTGATCCACTCCTTGGTGAAAGCTGAGCTCCAAGGGGACAGTGCAGGTTTGTCTATTTATTCACTGCTGAGTGGAATTTTGTGAGCTTCAATCTTAGTGAATTTTGGGAATTAGGAACTTCAGGGCAATTCAAAATTAGGTTTAGAATCCAAAATGTCCTGGATAAAAAAAAATTTTGCATCTGAAGACTGATTGATTGTCTGCATGGTAACTGAATTAGGGCTAACACACTAACTGAAATGATCTGTGTATTGCCCCACCCACTAGAAAAACAAATAAATGATTGGATAGTGGTCTGGGTTTTTCTCGTTTGTTACACCCCTTGATCCTAGCATTTGTAACCCAGTTTTAAACATCCAGCCTTCACAAAGCAGTGATTATAAAAGTATATGCATGAAACTTTAAGGCATACTCAAAAGTGTGCTTTGGAAGCAGGCCCTGGGACTGCTCATGCTGTGATGGACAGCTTTCACCCCTTCAGATCCTTAAGGTGTGTGTCACAAACCAGCCATACCCCTCAATTTTGAGGTATAGGGCAGGAGACATTTACAAAGCTCTTCCCTTCTTTGTCTTACTGAGCCAGATCCAGGTATAAATAGTGGAGAGTCACTTGGGATGGGGGCAGTTCCCCACATCGTTTAGAAAACAGGAGAGAAAGCCATCCATCCACCCAACAAGAGTACACTTGCAGCCCTCTGCCAGGCTCCAGGAGGAGACCTTGTCAGGCAAGATAAATATTTGTCCTGTATCCGAAAAGACCTGATAACAACTGTGACAATCTTGACTTCATCTTGGTACCCATCTATTGTGAATGACAATGATGTGACTCAGAAGCAGTGACACCTTAAGGACTTAGTGTTCAGGTCAGCTGAACAACATTCAGACCTCATTTGGGACAAAGTCTGCTTGGCAAGATAAAAACCTTTAGGGGTAATAAAAAGTGTTTGATGGCCAGGTGTTGGTTGGTGGTGTGTGCCTTTAATACCAAACCTGGAGAGGCAGGCTGATATCTGCGTTCAAGGCCATCCTGGTCTATACAGTGAGTTCTAGGACCAGGACAGGCTCCAAAGCTACATATATATAGTTTGATATGGGGGTGGGGAACTTTATAAGGGGAAGGGAGTGATGTCAGTGCTACTTGGTGTTAAGAGAAAGATCAAAGTTGAGGGAAATCAACTATCTAGAGGAAGAACCTTCACACAGAAGGAAACGAATCCACAGTCCCTGAGATGGGAGTGGATGCTCAGTCTCCAGGTCAGGGTGGTTGAGTAGAATAAGCTGGAGATTGATGGGGGTGTTGGCCAAACCAGTCTGACACGATAGATGGGCCTTTATTCAAAGTGGGATGGTCTATCCCCGGACGATATTATCTAGCAATGATAATTAACTAAAATGGCCTAGAGTCTGCTTTGTATTATATTTGGCTGACTATCCTAGCTAACATTCACTGAGCATTTAGTATGTTTGATTGGAGTAGACATACTGATTCATCCCATCTAATCTTCCTAGCATCCCCCAGTACTATGCTATCCCTAATTTACTGATGAGGAAACAACTGGGTAAGTCATACACCTTGTCCAAGAGCTTTAGATAATTCCAACCCCTTCTGGAGGTTCTTAAAATGAAGTGTGCATTCAATGAAACCTTGCATTGTGATTGAAGTTATTGCTCACTTTTTATTCCGTCTGAGACCCCAGCTCAAGGATTATGCCACCCACATTCAGGTGGTTTTTTTGTTTTTTGTTTTTTTCAGTTAAAACTTAATGGAAGCCGGGTGTTGGTGACCCACGCCTTTAATCCCAGCACTTGGGAGGCAGACGGGTGGATCTCTGTGAGTTCGAGGCCAGCTTGGTCTGCAAAGTGAGTTCCAGGACAGCTTCCAAGACAATACAGAGAAACCCTGTCTCGAAAAACCAAAAAAAAACAAAAAAACAAACAAACAAAAAAAACAATGGAAATAGGACTGGAGAGATGGCTCAGTTGTTAAGAGCACTGGCTGCTCTTTCAGAGGTCCTGAGTTCAATTCCCAGCAACCACATGGTGGCTTGCAACCATCTATAATAAGATCTGGTGCCCTCTTATGGCCTGAAGCATACATGCAGACAACACTGCACACATAAGTAAATAAATCCTTAGAAAAAAGATTATGTCTGGGTGTTTGTATGTGTGTGTGTCTGTATAGTGCCACAGCACTTGCATGGGCACAGAGGACAGCTTTTCAGAAGTCCTATCTTGTTTGTGAGGAAGGGTCTCTTCCTCCTGCCACAGCACAGCAGTGAGTTTCTGTCCAATTCTGTTTCCACTTCCCATCTTATCGTAGGAGAGCTAGAATTGCAGACATGAGCCACTTCAGCTGGCTTTTAAGGTTGATTCTTGGGATTCAGTTCAGATCATCTGGCTGTGCAGCAAGTGCCATGTCACCAACCCCCTTTCATTTCTTTGCCCCTTTCCTGCACCCCTTCCTATAACATGTCTGGTTAAGCACTCTTGTGGAATTTTTACTGGGAGGGAAATGATGTGAACAAAGGTCTATCCATCCCCAGATAGAGCAAGGATGACAGACCAAAAACAAACCAACAATTCCATCCAAGTCAGGTTTGGGGAGCCAGTGAGTTTGGAACTTCTTCCAGAAGTGTGGATAAAGAGGGCACCAGCCAGCACTCACCTTCCTCTGCTTCTTGATTGTGGGTATAATGTTACCAGTGATGTCACTACCACCACCTTGCCTTTCCTACCGTAGTGGAATGACCCCAAACTCTTCAAACACCGATCCTGCCCCAGCCTCCTGAGTTGCTGAGATTACAGGTGTGCACTACCACACCTGGCCATGGACACTATCCCAAGAGAAACCCCTCCATAAGTTGCTTGTTAACTATTTTGGTTTCATTAACAAGAAAAGTTACTAGTGGTTTGAATGGGAAATGTCCCCTGTAGGCACTTGTAGCTGAATACTTTGTCTTCCAGTTGGTTGCACTATTTGGGAAGGTTATGAAATCTTTAGGAAGTGGAGCCTTGCTGAGGCTGTTATGTCACTGGGGACAGAATTTGAAGGTTTATTGCCTCACCCTACTTCCATTACTTGCTTTCTGTTTCCAAGGTGCAGCAGAAGTGACATCAGCCAGCACCCTGTTCTGGCCACTTAATGCCATGCCTTCCTCACCGTTATGGACTCCTTTGGAACCATAAGTCAAAAAATACTCTTAGACATGTACTCATGGTGTTTCATCACAGCAACAGAAAAGTAAGAAAGACAATAACTAATACACTGAACTTACGTGACCAGAGCTGGAGCTTCAGTTACCATAGGGTAGGACTGTAAGACCTGCAGTACAGCACATTCAGCCTCCAAATGCCCCTGCCATGGGCTGGATTGTATGCCCAACTCAAAAGGCCTGAATTTGGTGTCACCTGGGAAAGGTCTTTGCCAATGTGACCAAGTTAAGAAGTCCTGAGGATGATCCCTGGTCCCATATAATGATGTCCTTACAAAAAGAGAAGAAACACAGACATAGACAATGTTACTTGATGACAGAGGCAGAGGGATGCCTCCCAGACACAGAGGGATGCCTCCAGACAGACACAGAGGGAAGGATGCCTCTCGACAGACCAGAGGGATGCCCCCACACGTGGAAGGATGCCTCCAAACATGGAAGGATGTTCAAGATTGTAGGCAACACTAGAAGAAAAAGGCACAGAAGGGCTTCTCCCCCTCTCCCAGAGGAAAAGAGCTTTGCATTTAAGACACCCCATAACTGTAGCCCTGGGAGCCTAATACATGCACCTGCTCTGCCCCAGCACCATCACCCTCTCAAGGACCACCATGCACTCCTTTCACCTCCCTAGAACTCCTCCACTCAATGTCAAGACCCTTTACTACAGTTCCTCATGCTGTGGTGACCCCAACCATAACACTATTTTCGTTGCTACTTCATAGCTGCAATTTTGTTACTGTTATGAATTGTAAATATTTTTGGAGATAGAGGTTTGTCAAAGGGGTTGCTACCCACAGGTTGAGACCACTGGCGTAGTGGTGATGCAAATGAATGAATGATGGCACTCTATTTAATTCTCTGAAGAAACTTACAGGAGTCATTTGTTTTAGTAATGAAAAATTAGAAAATAGATTAAAAAGGGAAAGAAGGAAGGAAATTATACTAACAATTTCTATAACTTGGTGGGGAAACTTCCTTTTGAGGGAGTTTCAGATTTTGAGGAGCTTAAAGTTTATATAATTTATAATATAAAATTATAAAGTCAATGCAGGGCCTTCAAGGATGCCTGACTGAAAATCATGTTTGTGTGAAAAATCCTAAAAGCAAAAGGCAGCATGGGGTGAATGGGTGTTCCAATATGTTTGATTCCAAACACGTAGCAATTAATGGAAACCTAAGAAAAGAATCTATCCTACACACCTCAGGAGTTGGCCATAAAAATAGGGTAGGAAAAAGAGCAGTGTTTCAAGTCCTGAGATGGAGATATCACTTAACGCCAACTCCAACAGTAGGAAGGCACCATTTTCTATCAGGAGCCTGGGAAACAAGAGTTCAAATAACTCTAAAGATTATATTTTCTTCTCCTAATGCAGCAGTTCATTTCCAAATTACAATGGAAAAACTCCAGATACAGCATCTATGGCAACCATTTTGTTGTATTTTGTTTGTTTGCACTACTGGAAATGAAACTCAGGGCCTCATACATGCTAGGAAAGAATTTTACCACTAAGCTATAACCCCCTCCTCAGACTCACAAATTTTAATTTCCAAATTACTCTTCAGAAAAAAAAACAAAAACTCAGCTCTCATAGTTTATTTCCAGCCACACAAGGCCTTGCAGCTACTTGTTCTGTATGGGAATGATACGTCCCTCTCAAATTGTTCCAACCACTGCTGCTTTGTGATGTTCACAAAGGCACTTGAAAGAGTTGCTTTTTAAAGAAATTGAAATATTTAAGCACTGTTCTGGGGGGACTTGACTGTATAATCTCAAGAGTCATCAGAAGCCAAAACAAGCATTTTTAAAGACTATTTTTAAATGTCTATGTATTTATTTAATGTTGTGTATGTACATATATGTGTACCATTTGCTTCCAGTACCTGTGGAGGCCAGAAGAGGGCATCATCCCCTGGAGGTGGAGTTAACAGTTGTTTGTAAGTTGTTATATGGGTGACAGGAATTCAATTCATGTCCTCTTCACCAGTGAGCCATCTCTCTCCATATCTTTCTTTCTCTCTTCCTTCCTTTCTTCCTTCCTCCCTCCCTCCCTTTCTTCCTTCCTTCCTTTCCTTCTTTCTTT